TTTTTCTGTCGGGGTTTGCTCCCTTAGCCTTTAGCTATCCCTAGCCACCACAAGGCAGTGGGACCGTAACCCTGGTTAAGGGAGGCTAAGGGTGTGCTAACACTTGCCCAAGGTGTCCACCCAGGCTAGTGGAGGGAAGGAAGCGCCTTATTTCTCCTTTTCTAGACCGGCTCCAAGCAAGGTCTAGCCACTACCCCCATAATATTTCTATGACACCCCCGTAATATTTCTATGACGCTCCGTAATATTTCTATGACACCCCCCCCTTATTAACAGTTAATTGGCAGTCAATTGTCTGTAGTCCGCCCTTTCAACTCTGTTCGCGACGACTGACCCTCCTCCGTTCCCACGGAAAACCATGTCCCCCCGCACCAAAAAAAAAAAACCAATGAAAAACAATCCTCCTCTAGGTCTGTCCCGATTGCGCTTGTAAAATGCAGAAAAGTTGCTCACTGGAATGCCAAAAATCCAAAATGTTACCCAAATTTCAAAAGGTGCCACCGAAATTTCTCGATATTTTTCTGTGAACTTTGATTAAAAGTTTGATTTTGTGTTCCTCACAATAACTTGTAACATCAGTCAAAAAATGATAGCTTGAAACTTAGCTTTAAAGAAAACGGTGCTCGTAAATATGGGCGAATTTTAAGGATAATCATGAGTGTAACGGAACAAAACACATGCTTCATTGACGTCTTACCGAACGAAACGTTGTCAAGTGACAGGCATTTACATGTGTCAAAAGGTTGGTAAAAATTCAAGGAATCTGCATGAATTGAAGTTTTCTACAAAGTCGTGACGACTTTGTTGAAAACTTTGACTTTCTCGTGCTTGATTTGTGCTCTAAAGCTATATTTTGCACGAAAACTGCTCAGATATACAAACATTTCTGGCCCGAATTTTTCAAAGCTGGGTTAAGATAATTAGGGTTAGCGTGAAATTCAATTTCAGATCTGAAAGCTTCAAATGAAAATTCAGTGTAACTGTTTTTGTCTACAATTTGATGATTGGTTTCTCTAAAAGAATAGGGAAAATGTTGCCTAAAAGGTTCTTGAATAGAGAAATGAAGAAACCTGGGTTAAAATTTAACCCTGGGTTAGTGCTAATCGGTCTTTGAACAACTGGGTCCTGGATGCTGTTCTAATCGCAAAAAGTTACTCCAAAGTGGCCAGCGGTAACGCTCAAAGTTGCTCAAAAGTTGCCAAGCACAATCGGGACTGGCCTATCCTCAACGCACACTCCAAGTGACAAATAATGACTGGTCCCTAAGCAGTTTTACTTTTAAACAAACAAGTATTTTGTTTTTACAGGACTCATCTTGAGCTCAGTGTACTATGGTTTCATTATCACACAACTGCCAAGTGGTTTGTTGGTCAAAAGAGTGGGTCCGTAGCCTGCAGAGCAGGCGTTCTTGTGGAGTTTGGGCGAAAATTAGGACTTTAAGAGTGTGTCTCTGTAAAAGCGGTCCGGTCAATTTTGCTTGAGACACAGATTTCCCTCATTTCTTGTGTTATTGATTGTAAGACATTCATGTGCCTATACTAAAACCACAATCCGTTTGATCGGATCTCTTTATTTTTCAAAGTTTTACGGAAATGAAATTTCCCTCGAGCGAAGGCCTGTCGTGACACTTTTTAAGACTTTAATTTGAGACAACTTTGGAGGACAATTTAAAAAAAACTACGGAACTCAGCAAAAAACAAATACCAAAGCCACGTATATTAATTCTATCTTATCCATCGAGGCGACTTTCGTGAACATCACATTTCAATCAAGGAAACAGGAAGACTTGAATGACACCTTATAGGTTCGCTTAAGTCACACACACGAAAACCGATCAAATTCAAGGTAAATTTTTGAAAATGAGAGGCGTTCTTAACCGATCCAACTAACATAGTTAGGAAGTAGATGCCATAGAAAAGGTAACTACAGAAAAAAACTTTGCGGCCCGACCTTTAGGAAAACTTTATAACTCCACGAACTTACCTAATTTTCGGCAATCAATCAATCAATCAATCAATCAATCAATCAAAGTTTATTGTCTAACGTGAGGCATGGTTGCCCAATTGCCCGAGCCAGAGGCTCATGTATAAAACGGTAGACTATAAATTAACTATAATTAAAGGTATATTATTAGAAGTACTTAAAACTTTATAGGTAAAAATATATAAGTTTAGAGTACGAGTGATAATTGTAAAATTGTAGGTGATTAATATTGATAGTTAAAAGAGTCTAAACATTATGTTCGGTGAAAGATATTGCAGTAGATGAATATGAATAAGAATGACAATGTATGTGTACGTACAATAAAAGTCAACTACATGTATTACATTTACAGATTGGTCCTAGAGTGCTAAAATCGAAATTCTTAAGTTTACTACAAAAATCGCTAAGCGTAGATGCTGTTTTAATTTCTCTAGGTAAACTGTTCCAAAGGTGACTAGCTTTATATGTAAAGGAATTATGATACGATCTATTATTATACCCTGGTTGCACTAG